AAAGCATGTAAAAATGCAAGTAGATAAATAGGGACCATTTTGGTGGGAAGGTAACAGTGTTCCGTGTGCCTTCAGTGTTTAGTCATGCAGGCCATATAACCATGGAGACATCTTTGGACAGTGCTGGCTCTTTGGCTTTGAAATGGAGATGAGCACTGCCCCCTAGAGTTGAGAACAATGAGCACATATGTGCAAGGGGAACCTTTATCTTTAAGAATGTAATAATCAGCATAACAGCAACATCTATAGTGATTTGAAATTCTAACCTCTCCGGAAGAAAGAAGATTATTAAGATATTCAAGAAATGCTTCATCTTTTATTTCATTATCTGTGAAAATAAATGTGATTCCTTTTCCCTCACCACCAGCAACTCTATATAAGTTCTTTAAGTCATCTGTTAAATTGGTCACATTGTAGGACCTGAGGGGAGAAAGCAAATCAACAAGTAAATTTAACCTACAATACAAATTCTTCACGTGTAAGTTCAGCAAATATTAAATCAGTACAGTATACAGTACAGTAAGTATGGGAGGTGAGAAGACTTCCATGCAACTAGAAATGCTTCCTTTAGGACCTGTATCCACAAAGAAATTTTGTTACATATTTTAATGGGGAGTGTTACTGAAATGGAACTTCTGAAACCACCCAAGCAAAAATGAGAAAAAGTATTGTTCCTAAAGTTTATGCTCTTCATTGCCCACATATTAATGTCAAAGAGTGAGAAAGAAACAAAATGTATTTAAGCTCTATTTAAATGTATTTAATAGATAAAAGGAAAAGCTATTTGGGATGACTGCCAGAACTGGACTGAAAGATATAATTTGTTCAAATGGAAACTAAACAAAGAGAAGGATGTAGAATTGGATTATGTGTTAAAAATAAACCAAATTTAAAATTAAACTTGATTCCAGGATATCTACGAAGATTCCTCGTCATCCAGGTAGAGTTGAGTCATGGCAACTGGAGCTTTTTTTTTTTTAAAAAAATAAACTGCTTATCCAAGTAGTTTCTCCATTCTGAGCTATTGATAATTCCAGAACATTTTTATGCAAAATCTTTTCACCATCTTAGGAGAAATTAAGGTTATTAGACACAATGCCATCATAAATCAGCTGTGAACCAACATTTATGTTAGATATATTAGCATTCTGTTTGAACTATAACTTGCATCTACTAACCACATTATCTCACTGATGCTTTATAATACTTAACCATAGAGCATAGCCTCAAAATATATGCCAAATCCTAATGTTAAATAGGTTGAGTTATTATCAATCAATAATTATATCAATGCGATCAATTTAAAATGTAATAACTTTTCTTCATTATAAGGATGTCAGTAAAAAAATATCATATGCAGTTAAAAGAATTCAAGAATAAAAGAAAATCTGTATATTTGTTCATTTGAGAGCCATCACAATTTTTTTTCTTTATCACTAGATGACATATAAATATTTTAGTTTAATATATTATAACTCTTACATTATAGTTGGTTGCATAGTCAGCCAGATATTAGACAGCATTTGGCATTTTTATCTACCCGTGAAGTCCTTCCCAAAGATTTGGCATAGGCATCTCAGAAGGAACTTATGTCATACCCAGTCTTTTATAAGTATCATGCCAAGTGCCATTTAAAAAAATGTATTATAAGCAGAGGACAGAAGAAGAATTCCTTCATGTGCCTAGAAATTCTTTCCTCAGTTATGTCATTTTTAAAAATATATATTTAACATGACTCAACAGTAGAACATATAATCATTAATATCATAACAGTGGTCCTGTAGACACATGATTATGCACAATCTACCTTCATTACAAATCATCATAATCTTTTAACGACCCCATAATGCCTGGGAAACTGAATGGAGCTAGCCAAGTGTTTAATGTCTGGAAGCTCTTCCTGTTGCCAATGTGGAGTTCTGTTCAGCAGATATATTCTCATTAAACTCAGAGACAGAAATATCTGCCTCTACCCAGGATTGAACTCACAGCCTCCTGATTGTGAGGCAACAGCTCCAGGCCACCACACCACTCCTACCTTCATCACAAATAGGAGCCTCTAATTCTGTATGGAAACTCAATCATTTTGGTTAAGTAAATGTTTCTGACCTTGTTAAAGTTATCTGAAAGATTTTGTATCCAGCTATAAAAGAAGCAAGCCTGGAAAGACTCTGTTTCCCAGAACCACCAACTCCTACAAGTAGAGCATTTCCACATGCTGTCCGAATTATTCGGGAGATCTACAATATTAAAAGACAAAAAGGACATACAGTGTATGCTAAACTCATTGCATAAGGATGGAACAGTTGAATCATAGCCCAAACCTATTTTTAAAGATTTTATTTTATTTTGGTTTGGTCTTTTCTTCAGGATGTGTGATGGAGAAATAGAAGTAGAACTTCATTTTAGCTTCAAAACAAATGTGAGGAATAGGTGGGGCTAGGAGTATGACTGGCCTAAAGTCCCCCATTCAGCCAAGAATGGATTCAAACCTTAGTCTCTCCTGTCCTAGCCACTACATTACACTGAAGATTTATAAAAAAGGAATTGTCAGTTTTGCAATGAAAAGAAGATAAAAAATATATATTCTTCTTTGAGGATGGTGTGCATCTCTGTGTGCATTTGTAAATCTCAAAGGAACTTCACAGAAACTTTCTCTGAACTGTGTTGTAAAAAACAATAGTTCAATTTTATTATACAATTCCAAAGCATATACAGTATTTACAAAACCCACATTGAAGTTCCCTCCACAGTAATGGTCCCCAACCATTTGGCGCCAGGAACCGGTTTTGTGGAAGACAATTTTTCCACGGACTGGAGGGGGGGATATTTTTTGTTTCACTCACTCACCTGCCACTCATCTCCAGCTGTGTGGCCCAGTTCCTAACAGGTCATAGAGCAGCACTGGTCCATGGCCCGGAGGTTAGGAATCTCTTCTCTACAAACTTGCTTTTATGTCCCTTTGAGTTTTATAGGTAATTCTATACCTTTTCTACTGGTAAAATATAGACCTAATAATCTTTAATTAATACCATAATCCAAACTAAGTACCACATATTAAATTTTATAGCCAACAAATTAACTAATTTCTTAAAATAATATGCAGCCTTTCAAAACAGTGTTTCTAGGAGAGCTAATAATTTCCATTACATGGTCACCTACAAGAAAGTGTTTTCCCAGTAATGGCAAACCAGGAAGATACACAGTACCAACATTTCTGTCAGGCGAAAACATCATTATTACTATCACTATCATCATACCACCATCACTGTAAAAAGCTATTAATTTTTGAATACTTAATAATTAGCTTTCATTTATTTATATTATTTACTTATACTGAAATTGATAAAAGGTAGCATTGGCATAATCCGAATAAATGAATGATTTGAAATGAAGCTTACATTTAGAGTTAAAGACACAAACCTTAACAAGATGTGTTATAGCATCTTTGAAAAACACCAGATCAAGCAGTCCACCTCGAACATTTTCATTATATTGTCTTTGGTAGAACTGTAATTTGTCAGCTAAAAATTCTAAAGATGGAACCTAATGGTAAAGAAAATAAGAATGTTAAAATTACCATTTATTTAGTTTATTTTTAAAATTAACCACCATTGCAATCAACAAATCACTAAAATTGAAAAAAATAGTCTTTCCCCAAAGAATTTATACCTACACAAACAAACAAACAAATAAATGCCTAGATAGAAGGTTACATTAAATAAGCTTGTCAGGTAAGACAGATATAAGCATAGATAAAGCGATTATTTTGTATGATGGTGATATTAATAATCTTTCAATAAATTAAAATGATTTAAAAATAAAAGGATAAAGAAAGGTAAATATATAATGTAAAAGTTAAGACAACGGGGTGACCTTGAGCCAGTCACTTTTTGTTAATCTTAGGGTAGAGGCAATGGCAAACCACATCTGAAAAACCTTGCCTAGAAATGGCATGGACCTGTCCAGGTATTCTCCAAGAATTGCACATGATTGAATGGAAGCGTGGGGGTGGGGGATGGGGGAGAGAACATACCACCAAAAAGTAAAGTCAAACATGATATAATTTATACAATTATACAATATATCACAGGATAATATTTGATATGATATTTATAATCTGTTGGAATTCATTCCGGGTGTTTGTGTGCAGGGAAGTTTCTGCTGCCTGAAACACACACACACAGGGATGCAAAAACATCGCACCAGAAACATCTTTCTGGCCTAATGATCAGGACTCACTATGCAGCCTCATGTAACAATGAAATATGTGAGCCAGCTACTCCCACACATGCCCTTTCTCCCCCCTATGCTGTGCTGTAACTTTCTATTCCCCCTCTCCCCACCCTTTGCCATGATGTGATTTTCTATTGGTTTATTTGTAGAATGCTGTGATTTTTCATTAGTTTACTTGTACCATGTGTGATTATATATGCCTTTTGATACGCTCCTTTTTGATGATGCTGTAACTAACTTTTTCTAATAAAAGAGCCCTTCGATGATCATTCGAAGCTTTTTGCTCATCCCGAGAAATTTTGTCTGGTGTTTTCCTTTTGATTAGGCAAAGACACATGAGCAGCCCTCCAGTGTGGCGACAACGCCGCAATAATCTATGTTATAGCTATTATAATCTATAATAATTATAGAAATGTCATCACATAAATGCAGAGAAATCAACTTGTACCCACATTGGTTTTCTAGACACAAATTTTATTAAAATAAATTGCCTTCCCTAATTACATGATTGCATTTTGTAAACCTTGATATCTTCTCTCTCTTGTTCCAGCACGGGGTGGGGGTGGGGGTAGCTCACTCTTGTACCATGTACAGTAGACTCTTTATCCATGCTTGCATCTGTCTTATTTCACTGACTATGGCCTTTTTAGCTATAATAGCTGCCCTGTGTTAATTAATGTTGGGTTTGTAGTAGCTGGATTTTCAAACTGCATGTTCCTTTCTAATAATTGTTCTTCTCTATGCCAGCTTTCTGAACATAGCTACTACATAATTTCTATATTGCCATTTCTTGTAATTTAAGTACATTGTAAATGTAAATCATAAGAAAGATTGTGAAAATTAGGTTGCCCTTGGGATCATTTTTCTGTATGAGCCATGACAACTGTTTTTGTTTGTGGCAACTTACAAGTATGCTTAATAAATCATAAAATAATGAAGTTGATATATTTCTATACTATTTTCGAGCACACTGCTCATCTCAATTGTTCTGTATTCTCCAGTCTATTACTTCCTGTGGTTTCCATAGTTAACTTGTTTTGAGAAAACGAGCTTTACATTCTGTCACCAAGAAAACTAGAAAAAAGCTCAGACCCTTTGTTTATTAATAAGATGACCCTCTGGATCATTGCCATCCATTTTATCATGAGTATGTACAAACAAACAAAAAAGTTTCTTTCTTAGCCTACTTTTTTTGAAAAATAGGTGACTGGTAAGGAGGCAATGGTTGCAGCTGACATCTAGCATATTCTAATCATTCTTTAAACCAATTTTGTTGTATTTAAGTACAATGACAATAAAGATTATACTTATACTTATTCTTCAGTACCACTTGTGTTTACTCACATAGGAGAATATACCTAATCACACTGCACCACCAATTCAGTCAGCAGACACATTGATCTACAACCAGCCTATGAGTCCCTCATAATCCAAATCAACTGCACTTCCAACCAGAAACAGCACCATCTCTTAAGCAACCCATGCAAAAACCCCACACCAGCAATTCACATCCTAATTACCCTGACCTGATGTAATCTCCTTATCACAAGACCAATCACAAGACTCACTGATGAATCACAGCTAACCCATCACAAGACCCTCACTTTACACATCCACACCTGAAGCCATTAGAAACAGAAGAACACTGACATCCCCTAAACTCCACTGAAAATGTTACCTAGTCTGGTAACAAAACGTTTGAAAACCAAGTCACAAGCTTGGAGAATGAATCTTCACCCTCAATTAATCCATGTAAGAGGGAGATTTTGTTCATGAGATGAAAATATAACCTGATCATAGATTAGGACTAGATCTGTGAAAGGTTGTATATAGCTCTAGTTTGATTTTCCCTTCCTATTGTGAACAGAATAGCAATAGCAGTAGACTTATATACCGCTTCATAGGGCTTTCAGCCCTCTCTAAGCGGTTTACAGAGAGTCAGCATATTGCCCCCAACAATCTGGGTCCTCATTTTACCCACCTCGGAAGGATGGAAGGCTGAGTCAACCCTGAGCCGGTGAGATTTGAACCGCTGAACTGCTGATCTAGCAGTAGCCTGCAGTGCTGCATTTAACCACTGCGCCACCTTGGCTCTACCCACATCCAGTGGTAGTCATATTCTCAGTTCATGTTATTAAATGTTGTTGCCTGGACCAGTAAAATGTGTGTCTGTGGGGAAACATTTGTGTCTATGTGTCTTTCTAAGTGTTAATAGGTCTTGAGTTCAAGTTCATGAGCAAGAAAAAACCTAAACTGTCTGTAAGAGATTTTGAGATAAGACTTAAGGCTACAACCTAACTTGGGAGGCTGGCACATCAATTATACATCCAGATAACACAAATTAAATTATCCATGGACATGGACAACTTAGTTTGCCAGAATTTTTCTACTAGTAAAAAATGAGAAAGATGACCAATTCTTTGTATCATGATATACCAATAAATAGAAAGGTGCTCTTTGGAGAACTTTTTCTATGAGGGATCCTTGGTGTTCTCTGAACTTGCTTGTTTTCTTGAAAACATTTCATTACCCTAACCAAGTAGCACTGATGATGTTATCCAGTTAGGATAATGAACTATTTGCAAGAAAACAAACATTTAATTCCCCTAACTAGATAGCATTGATGATGTTACCTATTTAGGATAATAAAAAGTTTGCAAGAAAACAAGCAAGCTTAGAGAGCACCAAGGACACCTCATTTCAATCCTGAACTACAAATATACTCCTTTACTGGAACTTTTTCTATCTTTGGAAGTACCACTACCAAGTACAATTGGCTCTAATCTTGAACATTATAGAGAGTTATTGCAGAATATTTATTATGCTGGAATGTAATGGGTAAACTTCATGCAGTTTTCAACTATGGATTTCAGTTTTATATTATTCCTTACAGTTTTGCAATTACCCATCCTAGACTCAAGAAAAGATATAAATATCAAAATCTATGTAAATACCGTTTCATAAATTTTGGGTGCTTCAAACACAAAATCTTCTGGTTCTTCACCTGTTGGCTCAGGCATATCCCGCAAAAAATCTACAAAATATGGTTCAGCTGTAACTTGTGATACTAAATTTGGATCCACATGTTCTTCAATTACTCTACTAAAATTTCGGTCAAACCATTCTTCATCATCTTCGGTAATAAATCTGCAAGAAACAAATTTAGTCGTTATAAATGCAAAACTCCCACTAATTTTGGATTAAATAACTATGTAAACAAAATGAGAACAAAATCATTTCAGTAACATTCATATCTTTCTTAGAACTAGGTAGATAATATATATCTGAATGAAGCAAAAACTACAATTTAGGGCCATACTTCATCAGGAAGTAATATGTTTAAGTATGTTTAAAGTTATCTTATCAACTATCTTGTAATACAGACTTCTTTTTACAACAAAAGACAACAATCCCATCCTCTACTTAATTTCAGCTGTCCATCTGTGTTTTCCTGCCAAACTTAAGAATTAATATTCTTTAACTCAGTATTTTTCATTGCTGGATGCAGGAGTCTGGCTGTTGAAGTCCAAACATCTTAAAAAATACCCTTCTGATGGATCAAGTGGTGCTGTCTAGTTTCTCTACTTTTCTTCATTTCACTGTATTGTAGAAAAATGTCTCCCTTCCAGATACTGTTCCCCATGGTAGGAACATACCCTCCCATTTAATTACTGGTTACTGTCCTCCATGGCTATTTCATCTTGGACTACTGGACCAGTGAATCACTGTTCATAAAAAAATAATAATCACAAAATGGAATTCCAACTACTCGTGTGTGAAAACTGAGTTTGATCAAATTCAGAAACACATCACTAAATAGCAGCTCATTTGTTCCTTTAGACTCCTACCCCAAATCCAGTTTAGAGAAACCAAAATAGAGTATTCATGACATCTGACCTTTACATACTTTCTGTTACATGGCAAGAAGCCACCCAGATGTTCTATGAGTCTTGTTTTCCTTTGCTTTCAGCACCAGTAGGTGTCAATTTAATCACGACACAAAAGTCTAAATAGAAACAGCTCAAATTCCTCCTATTGGTCTGTGGCATAAAGACAGCTACCGATTGGCAACTGGAAAGGGCAGAGGTGGAAGAATATTGAAAAAGGCCTTCGGCTTCCATCACTATCTTTTCCATTTCTGACCTTCTGGAAATATGGGGTTTATTGCTCTCCTCTAACAGTTCTGTGATGATATAAAACATCCTAAATTGGTATGTCAAGTCTCCTTACATCAGCCTTCTGAAGTACTAGCCAAGTTGAAACAGAGACAGGAAAAATGGAGGGGGGAAGATGACAGTTGAAAATTCCTTCAACATATGAAGTCCCTCACCATTTTTCCTATGATGGAAAGGAAAAATAATAATTTAAAAGATAAATTAAAAATTATCTCTTAAAATGTCCAGATTTTTCAATGCAGAGTCAAAATAGAAACATTAGACTCTGCCTACTCATTCACCCCCTTTTCCCCCCTAACAAATTGCAAAAATGACTTCTACAGGGTATACATTCGCTTTTGTGCAATCCCACTTAAGCATTTCTTTGTAGCTTTGTTTTTGTAGCTTTGTTTTGGGATTGCAAATTCATCTTTGGAATCTGGATTTCAGAATGAAAACGGATTAGAAGGTGGCTGATTCCTTCTCTTATTATTTGTAATGCTTCAGTAAATAGTCATACCTGTCAGCAATTACGCGGGTACATTCATGTTTAAATAGAGACAGAAGTGTATGAATACTAGTACATTCTTCTGATTTAATTGTTAACATGCCTTGCCAAATTCTGGAAAGATCCCGCAGGTTGAAGATATAATGAAATTTGGATGGCGTAGGCAGCATCTTTATCTATAACAAATATATATATATACATGTATCAGTATTTGTGCAAGTTCTCATAATGCAGAAGTGAAAAGCATGTTCATAGGTTCTCATGTATAATTATCTTCCTTATACACTAGCACAAGTACAATGTATTCAGTATGTTTTAAACTGTTGGTACATGGGGAATATATCTTACCTGTGAATTTCCTTTTGAGTGAATTTTCCTTGACTACATACTTGTGTATTTTGATTAGGGGACAGTGGGGCTGGTTTTAGATCTATCCCTGTCTAGCATGCTTTTTTTCCCCAGAGCAACCATATGAATAAGGCTTCTTGCATAAATTAAAGTAAGGCACAGGCCTTGTTCTCATTTTAAAATTTAAAAAGAGGCCAACTCTTGCAAGAAAAAATAATAAAGAACAGAAGATAATAAAGAATTTTACAATACTGCATAAAGCATAATAAGTATTTATATCTTAGTGAACTAGATTTTTCTAGCACCTGACAAGATTACTCTGGCACTTTCTACCTATTTATAATCAGATAAGAAAATTGGATTAAATTAGTCATCTACAACATATAAAAACAGATTTGTTTTCCATAACTTAGTGAATCTTTTTCTAATAAGTACTGATTCTGATACCTTAGTCCATTGCCACAATATTCTACCAGCGGATACCAATTTCATTATCATATCACTTATTTCAGCCTTGAAATTTCTACATGAATGAAAATATCCATTGCCAATTATTCCTGAAAAATAATAGAACAGTTTTAGCTTTAATATTTTCAAATAAGAACAGCTTTAAATCTAAAGTTTTACTGCATCAGTGCCATGTAGTCAGTTCAGGTGTATGGATTTGTAATTTTTCCGAATTTTTCTTAGCTGTATAGGGTTGTAAACACATAGCTTAATTAAAGGACTTATTAGGCCACAATTACAGAACTGGTGAGATAAAATATGACAACGAGTGATAGTTTATCTTGTAATAGGAAAAAAAAAACCAAATTCTTTAAGAGAAATTTAAAACTGAAGCCTGTTGATTTCAAGGCTTATCTCCAAATGGCAAGCAATGCAGAACTAAATTTTGCTATTTATATTTCCTGCAATTTCCTGTAGATATACTCTACACTGCTCTCTTTCCATAAGATTAAACTCAGGTAAGATCTTAATGAGGAATCCCTTTTTACATATTCTTTATGAACTCCTTTTTTAACAAGCTTCAACTGATTTAAATGGTAACTAGGCAAAGGGACTTTCTGATGGTTGGCACTTCATTTTGGAAATCATTTTTCATTATGACACAAGTCTGGCATTTTCATAAAGTCTGAGGTTTTCAGAATTGTCCAGGACATTTATTTAAAACATTGGGGGAGGGGGGGGTCAAATGCACCATCAGCCATGAGTCTCTTCATGTCCACAGGAGATCTAAGTCAAGCCCACCTTTAATTCTTTTCTATTCTTAACTCCTACTAAAGTTCCTTGACTGTTAGTAATTCAGATTCCTATAGAAAATTTAGGCTTACAATAAATCTTTGTACACATTTGAACTGCTTGTATCTCCTGATTTCCCTGGTACTGACCCAATATAATTTTATATTTCTTTATGTTTTGTCTCATGTCTGTGCTATTCCTTTGCCTGCAACAATAGAACTCCTCTCTCTGTGGCTTTATTGTAGTTGTTAAAATTTGGCTGCAATCTTTCCTAATCAGAAGCCTTCCAATTGGATTTCAATTTGCATTATCTTCAGAAGCAGGAGGGCTCCCTCATATAATGTGGAAACATCCCAGGCAGGACTCTCAAAAACAAATTGCCTGGTTTCTCTCTGGCAAGCTAGTATTACATACTCCTCCTAGAATATAAATTCTCCAAGGGACTGGACAAAAACATAGCAAAATATATAAAGAATATGAATTCTCAGTCATCTGTGGCTGAAGAATCTATATTATAGTATCCTTGAAATGAGCTCAGCTATTAGTAGGAAAAAATTAGTTCTAGAAAATGTGTCATCCAAATTTTTGGATTGGGTGAGAATCAAAATGATGTAATTTTCTTTTAGCAACATCATTCATTTGGGTACAGATGTATTTCTTTTTAATTCTGATGGAGAACATTCTTTAGATCACCCCATCAGTAATCAATAAAATTATTTGTAAAATAAAATTAATTAAATTACATTTATTAAATGTTAAAATTAACTAGATCAAATATCGATGTCCAACAATTTAATTCCATGTAACATCTTACATACATATGGCTTTAGTTTCTCTAGAGAAAAGGATTATCCACTGATAAAAAAATGCATGAAATCTTTTGGGTTCTACTTAAAATTCCACAGAAAAATGAGAGTACCAAATATTTTATCGATGGAGGCATTAGATGGAAGGGTACAGTTAAATACAGTAAACTGCCTCTTTAAGCGTTGTGGGATGTCATTTCGACCTCCTCCTGGGTGAATCATTGCCGCTATAAGCTGCACATCAACAATTGTAGTAAAGTCTCCAGGTTTATCCAAACTATACATCCCTTCCATTTCCATCATCTGACGCACTATTTCATTTGTTACCTGCACATTTTTAAAAAAAAGCAACAGATCATTCTTTCAAAAGAAAAAACACCCCACATATTTTTATTCTACTTGAGATACACGGCAAAATGTGGTTAAAGTGTATCTTTACATTGTATGCAAAGTAGCATGGGCGTGTCTTGATTTCAAGATGAAGAAATATCTTAACTTTCAATAGCAAAAATGGATTAATACAGTATATATGGTAAATGAAAATGATTTCAAAAATGACCATTTTTATTAACAATAACAGCTACACTAATCCTTTATACCAAGAACATTCTTGTTATCTAATTCTGAACTGTCCACAGCAGGAACAGGAAATCCACTATCTCATGGGTATCAAACTCGCTGCATCAGATTGCTGTCATGTGATGTTTTGCGATGTTTTCTCCTTTGCAGAGTTGGTGTGGGTGTGTCCTATGTGTGACACATCTGGCCCGCAGGCCACCAGTTTGACTATCTGCTCTGTCAACTCCTTCTGCTTTTTCTGAAGTCCTACTCCTCCTTTTTTCAGAATCCATCTCCATTGCTCATACAAGTAGATTTTTGAAGACTTGATCTTCTCTGTCCAAACAATAGCTGGTAAGAATCCCTACATTTATGATGGTCTACAAGCTTTTCTCCTGAGTACTCAGGCACAGACCATTTTGGAATTCTGAGCAAAACTCTTCTTTTCACAAAAAGAGAAAATTATTGCTCTTTGAATCTTGCAGCAAGGAAAAAGGCAGCCTGGTGTGACAATGATAGATCCAGGGGCTTCATCTCCCCCAATCATGTAGAATGGCGTAGTTGTCAGGGGCATTCTGGCATATGAACTGAGTTTGGTTTCTTACTCGTGGACCATCTTGAAAATAGCTCTTGCAGATGATGGAAAAAGTATCCCAATTCTAACTATCTTAGTGTTAAGGAATGAACTTGGGGACTTTTAAAATAAAATATGGGCACTCTTTACTGCATTATTCTTCTGTACCCAAACTGAGTTCCATTTCATTGTTTACACTTAATCAAAGAAAGAGTATTCAGTTAAGATGCCACATTGCTGAGCTCCTGGCTTCTTTGCAGATTTAAAACTCAATGCAACATCTGTCTGCATACATATGAGTTCACAGTTCAGTTGCATATGCAGGAACTCCATTAAAATGCAATCTACATATCCCTGTCACTCCTGATTCATACAAGGGTTGCACTGCCTAAAAATGTCCTGTAAGCATGTCAAGAAAAATACATGACTTGACTGCTTTAAGAATATGTACTTATTTAATAGATAGAAGTTGTTATTCAGTTGTAATATTCTGTTATTCCCCACTGAGGCAGAACATTATAATCAGCCCACCATTTTCCTAGACTGATTCTTGAAATACTGTTTCTAAGCAGTGCTAATAATTTTATAACACACTCAGAAAATATTGTTAACATGGGTAAAGTTTTCACAAATAGCTTATTTTTTAAAAGCATCATTTTTTACTAACAAAACATTGCTTACTTGTATAATTAGAGACACATTACAACTGTACCTGATCTCCCCATTCATTTATAATGGGCATGTTAATGTCATCAATGAATATGGTCATTTTTCTGCCCCCTGGAGGTCCATAGGTACTGCCCATCCGCTTGTCCACATAACTTTCTATTGTCCTCTTAATAATTAAAAAACAGAAATAAACACAAGTAAATAAAAATGAAGCTATTTTTAATTATGTGTTATACTGTATATATATATGTAATGAGTTTTAATTTAAGCCAACCAATTAGAAGTATTCAAGCATGCTTTAAAATAATTTATAATCATTGCTGGAGTATTAAAAATAAATGTCAAAATTGTCCCTTTCCTTTAGCTTATTTCAGATAGTTTATATAGAAACAGATGATGTAGAAACAGCTCATAAAATCTACAGTTTACCTGAAACATTCCAGGTTCTGTTGCTGAAGAAAAATTTAAACTTTTTGATAACTGTTCTTCTGGGTCATATTTTTTTAAATAACCTTTAATCATTACAGTCTTTGCAGTTCCTTGTTCACCAATGAGCAATACTGCCTGTAATAATTTTAGCATCATTATTTTCACATCCTTATTTTATATATATATATAATATATAAATGTATATATACACACTTTTTTCTGCCAAAAAATATTACACACTTAGGCTAAACAAAAAAAGCAATGTGACGTTGCTGTTGTTGAATTATATATTATATTTCTGATTTATATTTGGGGCTCAATGAACCTGGAGCAAAAACCATTTCATCCATAAGAAAAGAGCTTTAGGATAGTTGTAGAAACACAGATAAAATCTGTCACCTGCTGTGCAACATGTACGCACACACATACATATACTTATATGTATAGTTAATAAAAACATTTTGGCATGGAATGGTGTGTGGAAAGAGTGGTGTGAGACAGAAGATGAATGGAATGACTGTAAAGTAAGAAAAAGAAATAAGAGAATTAAAAGAAAAGAATATTTTCTAGATAAAGAATGGTGTTCTTATTCATTGGAAAATTATTTGTATATATATTTCCACACAAAATAAACAACATATAGACACAAATAGAAAAATCAAATAATTAAACATGCATGACATTGAGCACAAATGTGTCCATTTCACCTCCCACTTCTAAAATTTCAAATTAGGAGAGAAATTGTGAAAAAAGCAAATTGATTTTCACAAATCGTTTGGAAATCGGAATGGCAGGTTCACCAACATTGTAAGGCAAAGCTAGTGTACAGTAGGCATCTTAGCAGAATGCGTACATTATATTCAGTGACAAAGTAGCATCCCTTAGTACACAATTTGCCAATAAAATATGCACTCACTTTGTGTTGCTTTGCTATTGTATCCATCAAAAATTGTGTTCTGACATTGTCTACATTTGGAACTAGAATAGAAGAATACTCAGGAATACTGTCAGTTGGATAAATATATTCCTGAACCTTTTTATTCCAGTGGTCCCAGTCACCTGAAATGGAACACAATAACAGTAGAAAAATTAGAGGTATTGAAAGAGGAGAAGGTAGTTCAAACATGGTTCCAGTATGGCCAATTACAGGCCAGGTGGAAAATAGACCAAAAAACTGGTTTTATCCAAGTTGAGGATAATTTGTTTAAACAAATAAGAGATCAAAGCTTAATGCATATAAAGAGGATATATAATGTACTAATACAGATGGATTCGGAAATGGAATTGGTTAAAGATTGTATGATAAAGTGGGCTCAGAATATTGAAGAACCAATAATGTTGGACACGTGGGAAAGAATATGGGTAAGAAATGTGAAATTTACACAAGCACAAAACCTGAGAGAAAATTTTTATAAGATGTTTTATAGATGGCATTTAGATCCTAAAAAGCTGGCTTCTATGTATCCGAATGTACAGCCTAAATGTTGGAGATGTGGTTCTCTCGATGCTACATATTTTCATATATGGTGGACTTGTCAAAAGGTTAAGGCATTTTGGATAAAAATGTGGTGGATCATGCAAAATATCTTTAAAAGAAGGATAAAGTTTACTCCTCAGTTATTTTTACTAGGTATATGTACTGACTTTACAGCGGTAGAGACCAACTTGGTTCTGCACCTAATAACGGCAGCAAGACTGTTGGTGGCGCAATACTGGAAGAAGGAAGACTTGCCTACAACTCAAGAATGGACATTGAAAGTTACAAACCTAGCCGAGATGGCTAAAATATCGGCATATCTTAAAGACCATTCAAATGAGAGATATAAACGAGACTGGGAAAAATGGATTGACTATACACAAAACAAATATGGGACTAAGAAATTCCAGATAGCCTATGCTTAAGATTAGGAATAATCTAAACTGCTCAAAGTTAGTGTAACAGGAAGAAGCTGAGTTCAACGCAGGTGTTATTGACTTCCTTTTTTTTTTACTTCCTTTGTCTTAATATATTTTAGACTGTGTTTGTTAAAAATCTATACCGTGTACGGGCTCTGGGAAGTCGGGGGGGGGAAGGGAGGTGGGGTCTTAGGGGGGAGGGGGGTATATAGTATGTGTCAGATTTTAAAGTAACGCGATTGCACTTGTATACTGTTGCTCTTTAATTCCAGTGTAAAAATAGGACAAGCTGAATATATTAATAGATAGTAGAAATACACCGAAGGGAGGAGTAGAGGGATAGAAGAAAGAGGGGTAGAGAGGGGGGAGAGTGGATTGGAGGGAGGGTGAGAAGGAAGGGAGGGAGTGTATCGGGAGAGAGGAGTGGTAGAGGGGGAGGGGAAGTAGGGTAGAGGGGAATGATGGAGGGAAGATGGAAAGTTGGAGGGGGGCGAAAGAAAGGGTGTATGGAGGGTCGAAGAGGTACATTGGGTTTCTATTTTGGGGGGTATTATTGACAAGAGGAATGGCTGTGTTTATTGTTTAATGTTATATGGCCCCGGTTGTGCACAGTATATATGTGACTGTACAAAAATGAAAATGGAAAATAAAAACACATTTACTAGGAACAGTAGAAAAATACCAATTATTTATTTTCTTTTACTACTATATTTATATATCAAAATAGCTATTAAGAAATTAGACATTCTATGCAGTAGCAGCTCAATAGGCCTGAAGAAATCAAGGTTTCTGATTTTTTTTTCTCAGTCAGATGAATCTTCAGGCAGATTGACCAAGCCAAGGCCTTAGAAGCAGATGAAATCCCGGAAAGGCTAGTGGTGAGATAACCTGTAAACACAAAGTGTTATTTTGGAAAACAGCTATCACCTTTCTGGTCTCTGGTGAGGGTGTAAAGGAAAACAGAAGAACATGAATGAAGGATTCTAATTTTTCCCCCTTTGGGGAGGATGCCCTTTGATGGCGTATACTTTTGCTACTCGGAACTATCTAGCTATTTCTAAAAAAAAATGTTGGGAAATTGGTTTGTGTTGTTTTCCTCCACAATGTGTGCTGTGCCAAGGACCATTTGGCTTTTGTCTGTCTGTTGCTAAATGTTATTAGCTTCATGATTCTAAGTTGCCTCCAGCCATCCAGTTACTGAGATGCCCTACAAGTCAACAAAGTTAATGAAATAACTAAATCAGAATTGACTCATCAGTAGCAATTACTAAAATGTGTAATGTACAAATAGAAACCATCCAAATAAATGAGGGTTTCTGATCTATAGATGAGTACCAAAGTTACATGTTATAGGCTAAATAAGCTATAAAAAGAAAATGTTCTCTGCTAAACTATACTAAAAATATCAGGGTTATTTAAAAACGTAAGAAGCATTGCACTATCACTTACCACAATCACTGACAAAATACTCATACATTGTATGTGATTCCCCTTTATCAAACGTTGGCAACTCCAGTTTGCTTTCATGGTTTCTCAGGAAAGCTTCCAACTTCTCCCGGCTATCCAACTCTAGAAGGGATCCTAAACTCCACATTATGCCAAAGACAAATAACTTGTGAAGATGTGCCAGACATACAATGCCACCTTCTTCCTTAGAGGGTATCAAGCCTTCCAAAAGATTAATAGACTGAAAATATTTCAAAAAGAAATAGAGAAGAAAAAAGGAGAGAAGTAAGAATACTTGGAATACAATCTAAAATGAAAATAACTGCAGATTCACAGAATACATTTTGCTACTTACAAGGAACATAGCAAAGTTGTATTTAATGTACTTCATATTTTCCAATAGCCTTGTCAAGAAAATGAGATTTCTGTGTATTTCAGTAGCAATATGGCATGATTTTGTTAGATTTATTAAAAATATACCTGCATTATATAGTTACATTCTAGCAATTCCATTTTTGGAAAAAGATTCAGTTTCATGTAGGTATATGCTGCCTCAAAAGCTTTGTCATATAGACTCAATAATACATCTGCTTCTTGTGGAGTACGAGTCTTCAACCATCCCTGTGGGGGGGGGGGGGAAACCCAAGGAGAATGCTAGTCAGCTGTCCCATAATTTAATTTTTTTTTAAAAAAAAAATCTTCTCTGAAAACATACCTGCAATATTGGCCTCCAGGTTAGGGCAGAAGAACTGATGTACACCATACCCATCCTGGAAACTGTAGCAGGAGAAGCATTTTCAATATTGTGCACTTCAAAGAGCAACTTGCAAGTAGGAGACATTGGAATCCGATCTCCATTTGCTAAAGTGAGAGTCTTATTATCATCAAGCACCGAATTCAGATTTTCAATCCAAATTGCATCTACAGGGCCATCTAGAATCAGAAAAATATTCTCTCCTGGAAATAAAAAGCAAGTGTTTACAAAAAGTCAAAACTTCTTGTTCAGTTAATAAGTTCATCATCATCATCATCTTCATCATTCTGTAATGTATATCTAATGTTAAAATTTGAGTATGTGCTGCACATTTTAAGCCCTGCTGCAATCACATTCAGGTCTTTTATCCACCCAAGAGATGATGGTAGTGCAGATACTAGCTTTTTTATTGGTACATTTTTTCCTTAAAAACTGAAATAAAAAAATAGTATCATAGAAAAGTATAACTTTTCATATTATCTTGGTTCAAGTGATATAATTCCTTTGGGGAGGGGGGAGGGAATATCAGTATAGAGGGAATATCAGTATAGAGGGAATACTTTTAATAGGAAAGTGATATTCTGTGTTTATGTTTCTAGTTATTACTTTATTTCAAAATTTTCTTTATTTCAAAATATAAGCAAACTCTTCAGTGGGTTTATTGTACCTTTCTTGGCTTTAAGGGTTTTTCGCCATAAGGTGGAGAAAATTCCATCTGTCCAATCATTTGTTGCTGTATCCAGTTTGCCAAACATCTGAGGAGCTGTAATAGCTTTTGGGTTCATGCGCATTTCTCTGTGAGGATAGCCACATTCTGTCATTGCCCTCATCAATATAGTTATAACTGCTGTTTTTCCAGATCCACTTGGTCCAAGTGTCATCAACCCATGGCGTACTTTGGAAGTTTCATATAACTAAAGAAGGAGAGGTGGTAGGAGAGGAATAAATCTGGATTATTAGACTTGCTTTCAAACACTTTTTTTTTTCCAGAGAAGGGCTGAAACATGAAAGGTGAGAGGACATATACTTTTAGAGGCCCTGAGCTGGCATTAGGAAAAAAGCTCGCTATCATTGTGGGTGGGGGAGGCTAAATTCTAAATGGTGAAGTTAATCAGAGCATTGGTACTGCTAACATATATATAAAATCCCAATATACTTAATAGAGACAAAAGTGTATACAACATTCTATGCTTTTGGCCTTTGTGTCCAAATGCCATAAAAGAATACATAATAAGTCATTGTAACATCAATTTAAAAGGGAATTTATAAATAGACTATTCCTGTAATATAGAACACTGATCTTGAATGGTGCTAAATCATAAAAGAGTCTATGAGTTCCTAACAATTGCCCCCTTCAGACTTTTTCCTGAAGTACAATTTTCAGAACTTTCAACCAAAATGGCCATTGGCTGATTACTTTGGGAGAGCTAAATTATCTGAAGACATTAAGTTATTGAAAGTGGAAGAAAGGGGGTGTTATATCTCTTTCTAGTGAAGTTATATTTGGGTATGGTTCCTGAATATTAATAACTACATACATAATGTAAAATATGTAGTCTTACATTTGGATTACTTGAGAAGAGGCTCTCAAACATATTTATTAAAAAATATCACAAAAAAGATGGAAAAATTCCCATTGCAACTTTTTAAATTAATTTAGTTTATATTCTATAGTATTGTCTTCTGAAAACCTAAAATGTGTAATGATATACCTGGACAAGTTTAAGATTCCAAGGAGGATGATTAACCAGTCCTGCTTCCTCAACCTGATTTGCAACTGCTGCTTGAAGGTCAACGTAAGTATTACTATCCAATACCAGCCCAGGAAATAGATCATTGATAAGGCTAAGAAACAAGGGCTCATCTTCATCTACCTGGATAACAAAAAAAATGTTTTAAAATGGAAATTGTTGACATGGGGAGGGAGCAGCAACAGATTATTTAAATATATATTTCTTGTAAGCATGATATCATAGAGACCAAACAAGATACAATTTATGAAAGTCAATAAATTATACAGAAGTACTGCATAAATTTCAACAACCTGATTATGTTGGATTCAGTGGGGTTTCAATATTATTACTTTCTGTATAATTTGCTTGATTTATTGTATGCAAATCAAGTATGTATGTATGTGTGTGTGTGTGTGTGTGTGTATGTATGTATGTATGTATGTATGTATGTATATATATATATGCATGCACAAGAGAGGACGCAGTCAGACTGAGAGCCACATACTTCTAGAGAAGCATACAAGAAGCTTACTAAATCATTTTCCTAATTACTCTAGCAATGGGAAGTTTAAACAGCTTCCAGTGTATTCATAGCTTTTACAACATTTCATATATCATTGAGAGAATAGTTTAAATTATATTTTACTGTCCATTTTTCTTCTTTTACCAAAATTAGCTGCTGGCTTCCCTGATCAAAATTAAAATTATGGCCCTGTGTAGAGGGGATATATGTTTTCTTCCCCAAAATCAGCCTTCTTCTGGAGATATAAATTATTCCAAATTTTCTTAAGTGCAATAATTAACTTAAAGAGAATGATGCTTTCATTAATTATTCAGTGGAATAACTGATTTATAAATACTGACAGTTGTCAAAATATAATTTTAGAGAGTCACATTGTTTTCATTTGAAAACACAGTTCAAAACAATACTATAAATACTATACTATGCTATAAAATACTATACTATAAAATACTATAAAAAATATTTCAACCAGACCAATACCAACACTAGGTAAATTCTTACAAGTTTAGAGAGGTTCATGTCCCTTAGACCTCTCATAACAGTACTCATTTCACTGTCATCCGGTCTTGCCCTCTTCTGTGATCCAAGAGTTCTCAGCACTGAAAGGATATTTCTTAACCCAAAATCATAATGAACCTAAAAAACAAAATAGATGAATCAATAGATTGTGCATGTTTTCTTTCTTTAGTAATGGCATTCACAAAATTGTGAACATTTGAAAACCTGTAAAATCTATTTTCTATTACGTAGTACTTCAATACAAGCATATACATATGTATGTATAAAAAGATTGTCTCAAATGATTAAAAAGAAGGTATGGTTCCATTAACCGTAATGGAAGCAGTGTTCTTCCATCTCCAAAAAGCCATTATTGGATCTAATGATCATGACAACTTTTATCCAGTCTCCAAACTTCCCTTTTAGATATAGTACTGAGACACCACTGGACATGCTTGCTGGTGATCTTCTGAGAAGGGAATGGTGCAGTGATGGGATTCAAATAATTTAACAACCGGTTCTCTGCCCTAATGATCAGCTAGGTAGGCGTGACTTGGTGGTCATGTGACTGTGTGGGCGTGGCAACTCAACATCAACCAGATTGATGGCTGCTTTGCCTTAGCTGTTACAATGTAATTAGAGTTAATCAGAGAGGCAGTTTCTGTAAGTAGGGCAATAAAGATCGTGGCACGACAAAACCGCGCTCGTCAAAATAGCGGTGATAAAACCGCATTGCTAAAGCCATGATGTCATCACTGCGATGTCATCACCGCCGCGACAACAGCGCGGCGACAGAAGGGCGCTTTAAAACAGCGCGGCGGCAGAAAGCCGATTTAAATTAAGGTAAGGGTTAGGATTAGGTTTAGGGGTTTGTTTTAGGGGTTTGTTTTAGGGGTTTGTTTTAGGGG